CTCCATGTTTTTTAGGGGAAAAAAACAAAAGTAGCTGCAAAAATAGTTTTTCATGGTGCTTCTAGAATTCAAGTCCCTTCCCTTTTTGAAAGCGCTGCAGAACTTTTCTTTCACCTTTGGGAATTTCCGGAGCTTGGCACAGGCCCAAAGATGCTATGCATCTAGACTCAGGAAATGTAGTACAGTCTTCATCTCGTTTGCATGCGGGACCTGGCTCGTAGATGATACGGTTCTCGATATTGACCCTAGAAAAATAGGTTATTGTTATAAAAATGGTAAAGATTAGAAAAACCTTACTTTGTGTTGTAGACACAAGTGAAAATAGCTCGAAAAGAATCGCAAAGCGTGTAAGAGCATCCAATTCGTGTTGTCATACCTTTTGCCATCTGCAAGAAAAAAATTGAATTTTGAATGATTTTGCCGGTTTTTTTTTCAATAGTTCAAATTTCTTTCCGACTTGAGCGTTGGAGGATTTGATTATATGAGTTATGGTTTGCTTATTTTTCACAAATTCTCATAATCTGCTGTTTGTGTTTCATTGTTGAAATTTTTATATTGAGATATTGAACGACAAATGGAAGAAAAATTAAAAAATGAAGCAAGTGGAAAAATAGCATACGTTCGCCCATCCAAAGTATTTTTGCTGATTAGAATAGCGATTTTTGCTATCGATGTTCCCATTTCGTTTATACTCCAGCCACCATAACCGCATCGCATCGTCTATGTGTTTTGTAACGTTGTCTCCTCGAATGGATACTCGAATTCTATAAAATTCAACGATTTTTTCCATCTCTAAAAATGTAAAATCTCACTTACCGCTTCACGAGTTGTAATCCTAAAGGAATATTTCTTGTTTTTTCATACGGTGTAGTGACACTAGGGCAATCATGTGCCCATATACGAGCCATTTTTTCTAATTCGCAATCCCATTTCTGAACATAACATAGGTATTGCAAATAAATATTTCACAAAATTTCGTAGAAACGAACCAGCAGATAAATGTTTTTTCCGGGAGGCATAAACCCCAATCCTTCTTTGTTCTGTTGACGTCCCCGCGCTAGCTTGCTTCTCAAGCGATTATGATTATAAAGTATGAAATCTCGGTGTTCGGGTGTCATTGTTGAACCAGTACAATTCTCATTTTCATGGGTAGCTG